ATTAATAAATTGTATATTTAATTTAATAATTTTAATAGCATCTTAATACATTACGCCATATTAAGTGTTATGTTTTTCTACACGAGGAAACTTGTAAAATGTTGAGAGATTCAAACAAAAAGTAATAAAAAATAGAATAAAATAAAAAATAAAGCCTGCAAGTGACGTCGCTAGCGGAAGCTTAAGTGTCTGAGAATGCAAGTCTGAGAATGCAAGTCTGAGAGTGCAAGTACGAGGCTGCAGCCAGACCCTTATCAAACTCCGACACAGAAACGTCTCTGCCTAACTTAACTCCGACTGTTCAGTCATTTGTGTATGTTAAATACGAAACTACCTTTTTTCCTGAAGTTTAAAGACACGTCATATTATTTCAACAGATAATTAAGGAAAACAGTTAAATAACTGTATTAGTTGTAACGTTATACAAGATGTAGCTGTAGGCGCATTGAGCACATAATCTAACTAAATTACAGCCGTAAAACCCAATTAATCCATAACTACATAACTCACATGCTTAATACTGAATGGATAAAAACGTTTAAACAAAAGTATTACTTAAAGTGTCGATAAAGAAAACGAAAAAACGGCGCGAAATAGTTAGCCAACTTTAACTTCAAGGCTAAATGCAGGAGTATGATTTGATTGTTACATTTAAAGCATTTGACAATTAATCTGCTCATATGTGATTTAATTCGTACCTTTTCAGTGCCTTTGGGTTGATAGCAGTGCAGAAAAACGCAGTCACCCATTGAACCGAAAATTCAAAATGGCCTCAGTCAAGCATCGTGTCCTTAGCAGACTAATCCGTCTTTTAAGTACATTTTACTTAAATAGATCTCTAAAAGGCACACATCTAAAAAGCCTCGTAAAGATTACTCAATATTATACATACAACATTTAATTGTAAAAAACACGTGTTTGCAACAAATTGATATCAAGTTAGGCTACTCAAATTTTCAAAGTAAAGCACCATACATAGTTTTATTTGTTAAAACTATTGATATTTCTTGTTACAATTACAACTCCACTGAGTCATTTTTCTCAACATCTCTATTAATTTAACAAATTTATGACCAAAACCAAAAAAATTCAATGCATGTAAAATGAATTTATGTTATACATACAATATCGAATGCCTTATAGACTTGTTCGCCATCAGACTGAGCGCCATCTTTGGCTCACTCTCACTGACATTAAGGACAAGGACAGGACTTTTCTTTTGGACGCCCCCATTTCGAGTGACGGTCTGTTCGGAGATTCGGTCACTACGGTCGTGGAGAAGTTTCGAGCAGAGAAACAGCAGTCCGCCGCGTTACGTCAGCTCATCCCGCGCAGGGCTAGGGAAGTAGAGCGTCAGCCACCTGCGGCTCACTTTCTTATTGATATATTAAAAGTTTTTTTTTTACATTGACAAAACAGGTAACATTAAGGTCCACTGAAGTGCCTTGAAATGCGCAGCGTTATTCTATGTGCTGTGTGCTGCGGCTGCCTAATAATTTTCACAAATACATGCCTTAAAATAAAGATAACATTGTATACCGTATGACGAAGACGTGCTGTCCACAGCGGCCTCCGATTCGGAGGATTTATTGGGTGAAGTGTGCAGTCCCTCTGAGTGGACAGGAGAAACGCACCTCCCCATCTTAAAGCGAACTATTAGACGTTGTAACGCGCGCTGTGGATAAGTTGGGGTTAGAGTGGGATAGCGAGCCGGCGCAAAATCAGATCCAGTCGAAACTGGACGATCGATTTTTGTCCAGCCGCACTCCGTCTCAGCCCCGTAGGCCTCTCCCCTTTTTCCAAGACCTCCACTACGAGGTTTCGAGGTCTTGGAAACAACCTTTTTCGGCGCGTATCACTAATCCCGCTGCCGCTGATTTCGCCACGGTTTCTAAAATGGCGGCTCACGGCTACGCGGCGATGCCGGCCGTAGAAGAGACTCTCGCGGCACATCTCGCGCCAAATTCCGCTCCGTCTTGGAAGTCACGCCCTCTGCTACCGTCCAAGCCATGTAGGGTTACTTCCGCTTTGATCGGGAAATCTTACATGGCCGCTGGGCAGGCCGCGGCTACACTCCATTCTATGGGTGTACTCCAGGCTTATCAGGCAGATGTGCTCAAGGAGCTGGACGAGGGAGAAGGCCTGACTCCAGAGGCCGTTAAAGAGCTCAGACGAGCTACTGACTTGGCGCTTAGGGCTACCAAGCACACAGCTCGGGCAGTGGGCAGGTCCATGGCAGGGTTAGTGTCAGCTGAGCGCCATCTTTGCCTTACTCTCACTGACATTAAGGAGAAGGACAGGACCTTTCTCCTGGACGCCCCCATTTCGAGTGACGGTCTGTTCGGAGACTCGGTCACT